CCCTAAATTGGACCCTCCCCCCCATGGACGCCCCAGACGCCCTTTCGGACGTCTCTGCGGCCCCCTGGACGCCCTTGGAAAAGGTCCGCTGGCCTTTCTTGGCTTGCCAGGGCGCCTTGCCGGGCCTTGCGAGCAGATTCAAGGCGATCAGAAAGGTCATCGGGGAGGCGCCAGAGAGGTTCAAGAAAGCACAAGAGCGCTCCAAGAGGAACTTCGATGATCTGAAGACGGTCCTAGAAGACCCCAAGACGCCCCAAGAGACCGTTGAGACAGCCCCGAAGAAGCAAACATCGCCCCATCCCCTTCTGGAAACCGTATATGTTTAGCATATCCGTTTTCTGGGCCTTCGCAGCGTTCAAGACGGCCCGATGGGCCCCCGACATCGCCCCCAGACGGCCCAAGATGCCCCCCAGAGGCTTTGAAACCGGCTCAAGAGGGCCCCAAGATTGCCCCAGAGAGCCCCGAGATTGCCCACAATAAGCCCAAGATGCCCCCAGAAAGCTCCCAAGAGAGACCCACGATTGCCATGTCAGACCCCCAAGAAGGGCCACTGGAGGCCCCCAAGAGGGCCTTAGATGGCTTCAGAAGACTTCAGGAGGGCACCGGCTCCCCAAGACAGCCCAAGAAGGCGCCAGGACGGCCCGCGAGGGCCCCAGGACGGCCCAAAAGAACCCCCAAAACGCCCAGACTGCGTTTTCTTACGAAGTACGTCGGGCTGACCCGGAGGTCTGGGTTCCACGCTTGAGGCTCGAGGTTTAAACTCCTCGATCGAGAGAGACATGCAATGGATCTAGACTCGAAGTTGGACGATCGAAGATTTCCTGGCTGTCTGGAGCCCTCCAGGCATCCAGGAAGCGACTAACATATATTGTTCGCAGGTGTTGCGACTTCTTCGGCGTGTCATGGGAACGCTCCTTACTCTCTCAAAGGATGGACTCAACCTCCAGAGGAGGCGGAAGAGGAGGAAAGGAGGAGGAAGGTACCGGCAGAGACAAACCTGGGGTGAAGCAGATTATTAAAAGCCAGACTGCTTGACGCGCGGAGGTCCTTTGGGGAAGCGAGGAGCGTTCCCATGACACGCCGGCAAGGTCGCACTGGCTCCGGACAATGCTATTCTTAGCTGGACGCCTGGAGGGCCCCAGGCACTCTGGAAATCTCCGATCGTCGAACTGCGAGTCTAGATCCATTGCTTGTCTCTCTCGATCGAGGAGTTTAAACCTCGAGCCTCAAGCGTGGAACCAAGATCTTCGGGTCAGCTCGATGTACTTCGTAGGAAAGAACGCCGTCTGGGAGTTTTAGGGGTTCTTTTGAGCCGTCCTGAGGCCCCTTTGGGCCGTCCTGGGGCGTTCTTGGGCCGTCTTGGGGAGCCGGGGCCCTCCAGAGGTCTCCTGAAGCCCCCTTGGGGGCCTCCACTGACTGCACGTAAGGGCGACCCTTCGCCGGAGTGATCTTTGGTGCGGGCTCATCGGGGTCCTCCCGATCGCTGAGCGCGATGCGATAGCGGCTGCTTGCGCGCTTGGATTTGGCCACCTTGCGCCCCCTTGGTCCGCGCACCACGAGCCCATCTTGCCCAGGGTCACTGGCGTGTAGCCGGCCAAGAGGCGACCGCCTTTCTGGGGCCAGAGCGTCCGGCACCAGCCCGTCGGCATCGCTCTCGTCCTGCTTCCTATCCGCGGCGGCGCGAGCGAGTCGCCGACGTCTTCGCCGCTCGGGCGAGTTTGGGGTGCGCCTGGGCGGGGGGGGCTCTCGCCGCCTGGTCGCGGGGGGGGAGCGCGACGCCCTAGGCCTCCCAGGTGGGGTCGGAGTAGATGGGTCGGAGGATCACGCTGCATCGCAGATGCATCGCCGATGCGGCTCGATGTGGAACCGGATTTGATCTCACGTCGACGTCGCCGATGCATCGCCGGCGTCGACGATGCATCGCCGATGCATCGCCGATACATCGTCGACGTATCGGCGATGCGGCGCAATCCTCCGACCCCATCTCCTCCAACCCCATCCAGGGGGCCTCTAGACTCGGAGCAGCTGTGGCAAGGGATGGGCCCCGAGTGCCTGGTGTGGCGTTTTCTGTTCGCAATGGTGGGGGCGTGTTTGCCCAGCCTCAAATAGTAAAAAAGTAGTCTGGAGACGACTTTTGAGTATTTGTTGACTATCGTTTTTTTTTTTTAAAAGTATTTTTAATTTTTTGCCCAAGATCCGCCTGTAGGGGGACATGCCCGACCGAAGTCTAGGGCGCTGGTCGCATTTTTTCGCCATGTTGCATTTTTTTGCAACGTCGGACCACAGGGGATCCCAGCAGGGCTCTGGGGTCGGGTTTGATCGGCATGCTTGCACGCCCTCCGGCACCCGCGTGGGGGACTGAACGATGCCACGGAGGTCCACGCGGATTCTTCGGATCGGCGCTGGGGTCCCCTGGCGGTGCTTCCGGCGCCGCCCCTGGCGCGCACCGCGCGCCAGGGAGGCGGGCCCAGTGCCCACCCGAGGACTCCGCTCGGACCACGTTGTTGTGCTTATCTTTAGGTCGGCCACGTCCTCCTACAGGCGGATTTCTGACGAAAACTAATCAAGAAATATTCAAAGACAGTCAAAGGATAGTCGGAAACTCCTCTCCACATAATTGTTTGGACTATTTTTGGGCACTCCTTCTGTAGAGGCACGTTCCCGACGGAAGCTTCTGCCACTGTTCAGTCCCCAGTCGCATGCGAGGGCTGCACGCTCGGAGCGAAGACGCCCCCCCGCTTCCCGTGCGCTCCCCCCGCTCCCGCCGCCTGCCGTGCTCCATGCAGCCACGCGCCTTCGTGCCTCCCCCTCCTCCTCCTCCTCCTCCTCCTCCTCCTCCTCCTCCTCCTCCTCGGCCTCACGAGGCGCCCACGGGCGCCCGCTGGGCGAAACCTCGACGGCCTCATAGAGAAGTGTGCACAGGAGAAACCCACAACCCTCCGCGAAACTTGACGCAAGTTTTGCCGACGGGGGACCCAGCCGTGCGTCCGCCTCGGAGCGCGGCGAGGACTCGCTGCTGCGACCAACGAGTTTGGAGTCGGGCGTGTCGCTCCACAGGAGGGATCTTCAAGCATCGCTAAAGATTCGTCTGTCGACGACTTGTCGTGCCTTTGTTCTGTTCTGCTGTGTTGATTTTTGCTTGACTGGTTGTACTTCTCTTCCAAGGTCCTCCTGTAGGATTTTTTCGTCAGCGGCGAGGCGGCGAACTCCGCTTTAGCGAGAAGCTATATGGGGGCACTAACTAGCGAGTTGGCCATTGGCCGGCGAGCAAGGAAGGAAAGAGGGACGGCCGAGAGGAAGCAGGGACGCTCAGACGCCGAAGAGTCCGACGAGGAGCAGCCGGGGGGGCAGCAGCAGGGCCAGAGCGCGGTGGGCGGCCGTGGCGAACCTGCAGGAGGACACGCCCGACCTGAAACAAAGTGTCCGGCGTGCTCCTCGATCATCGAGGGTCGAGGTTCCAGGGTCGAAGTCTCTGTGGGCGCTCCTGGCCCGCGTTCGGCTGTTTCGGGGGGGCGCCGCCGACCACGAGAGGGGAGCGACTACGATCACGCTCGACACGCACGAGCAACAGGGCGGGCTGCACTAGACAAGCGCGAGCAACAGGGCGGTGGGAGCGACTACGAGCACACTCGACATGCTCGTAGCAGATGTTTCAGGGGGACGCCGCCGACCGCACTCGACACGCACGAGCAACAGAGCGGGGGGAGCGACTACGCAGTGGCATTGGTCGGGGTCCTCATCGACGACCCTCCCCGCACGTGTTGTCAGGATTGGGTCGGCCAAGCTAGGATTTCAGAGACGCGCGAACCGCTGCCAGGATCGAGCACGCGATGGACGCGCGAGGGCCGTTCGCTTGTCCGTTGGTTGCCGCTGCTTCTTCCCCTCTGCACTCGTTGTCCTCGGGGTCACCGTCCTCTTCATCGGCACTCACGATTGGCTGGCGCGCGAGGCGTGGGCCTCGAAGAAGGTGGCGGGGCTTCGAAGCAGGCCGTGTACCTGCAGCAGCGCGTGGGCCGGCGGGCGCCTTCAGAAGCTTCGCGGGCGGCGCGCGCGGCGCGGGCGCAGCAGGCGGGCAACGAAGCGGTATGGGTGCCGCGCCGGGCGTGCCCGTGCCGCCGGACGTGGCGAGGCAGGGCGCCTCCGGGGTACCGGCTCCAGCTCCGCTGGCGTCGACAGGTCGCAGAGGAAACCATGTGCTTCGTTGCTCCTTCGGGGAACCTCGCCCGTCCCCAAAAAATCGTGTCTCTTCTTGCGCCCGACGCGGGCTCGATGCGGACTCGACGCAGATTTGGCGTGGATTCGACGCGGACTCGACACGGCTTCCACAAAGGATTCGACACGAACCCGACGAGTCCGACGTGGCTTCGACACGGATTCGACGCGGATAGGGCCGCGATGGGACGGACAAGGTCCCTTGAGGATGCAGCACAACATTTGCACAACAATGAGTGTTCGGAGCTCTGCCCGGATTCCTCGGATCTGCGCGACGCCTGCTTTAGCGGTGCCTCCAGCGCCACCCTTGGCGCACTCCGCGCGCCAGTGGGAGGGGGTCGAGCTCAGATCCAAGATATCCACGCGGAGCTCCATGTTTATGGAGTTCGTGTCTTCCGCTAGTTTCGGCCGCCAGCTCCACTGGCGCCGCAGAGGCCAAGACGATTGAACGCGCCCGAACACGTCACCCCATCCCTCCTCGTGTTCCCCCCCCATTCCAAAGAAGGCAGAAACGACATCCTTCCTCGCTCTCCTCGTCCTCCTCCCACTCCCGTTACCCCTCCTTCCCCTACCCCTCCTCTTCCCCCCCCCCATCTTTCCCTCCCGTCTCCGCCTCCTCCTCCTCCTCCTCCTCCTCCTCGCCGTCTGCCTCCTCCCCCCCCTCCTCTTCATACTTGCCCGCCCCTCCTCCTCTCCTCCTCCTCCTCCTCCTCCTCCTCCTCCTCCTCCTCCTCCTCCTCCTCCTCCTCCTCCTCCTCCTCCCCCTCACCCTCTTCCTCTTCGTCCAGCCCATTGGCTCAACTCTCGCGCCGCTGGGCCGCGCCACGGGCCGAGCCCGCGCGCCGCTGATGCCGGGGACGGTCACGCAGCCGGCTGGGCGCCGTGGCGTGAGCTCCGCGCCGCCGATCATCACCAGCGCGTTCCACTTTTCGCAAAAGGGCCTACTGGCAGACGTCCGAAAACACACATGTCTGCTTTGACATCATTTAGCGTAGGTCCCCCGCGGCGGATCCAGGCCATTTGCGAGTAGTCACGTTGCGAGTAGTGGAACGCGCTCGTCTAGATCGGAGGTTGCCAGAAGGGTTCGCTGGACAAGGTTGGTTTCGCTGGACTCGAGGTCCTCCCAGCCCGACCTTCGGCACTCCAGCACCTTGCGCTTGGTGCCAGGCCCCGTGGCGGATCTGCGGTGCGCCGCCACGCCGCGCAGCACGCGCTCCCGCCCGCCGCTGCGCCCGCCGCTGCGCCCGCCCGGTGGCCGCGGCATCTGCACGGCCACGGCGAGTTCGGCAATGGCGGGCGGCTGGGCAGCGAGCGGTAGCAGAGATGCCCTGGCCTCGCTAGTTAGCGCCTCTCTGGGCCTCCTGGGAGGGCCTCGTCGCCACGGTTGGATTCGCCCCGAAGTTCTGGTCAGAGCGCACCTCGGGAGGGGTCCGTGGAGTAGCGGTATCGGTACCTTTTGGTCTCCCCACGGACGGCGGCGGCGGACGGCGCGCGGTGGCAGCGGGGGAGGCGGCGGCGAGGGTGTGCGGTGGCCGCGGTGCTGTTGGCGCGGGCCGTGCGGCGCCCGGCCTGACGCGCAGACAGGCCGAGAGGGAGCTGGCTGGAGGTGGAGGGCCGCGGTGCTTGCTGGCGCGGGCCGCTGCTGCGCCCGACCCGACGGGCAGACTCGCAGGCCGAGTGGCAGTGGGCGGCCGGGGGGAGGGGGGCCCCGCGCTCTCCGGTCCCAGCTGGAGCTTGGCAGTGTCGGCTGCTGCTGCTGTTCGCTCTGGGCGAGTGCTACGAGTGCGACTGCGGGCCTGGCGCTCACGCGGTGGTCAAGGCGGCAGGTGTCGGCCTCGGGTCGTGGGCGGCGCCGCCGCCCGCGGCCTGGGCCTGCTGCTGCCTGGCAGGGTGTGGCTCGTGCACCTCCTGGTCCTGGTCCTGGCGCTCTTTGAAGCGGTCCCCTCGGTGACGCGTGGGCTGATGATCGTGGCCGTGGCGGGGCGGGTGAGGCGACGGCCAGCAGCTGCGCGACGGGCACGGTGCAGCACGAGGGGATCTTCGAGACCCTTTTGGGCTCGGTGGGTGCCCCAGCGGGCAGCGGCGAGGCTCGGGCGCTAGTTCACGGCTTTCGGGCAGCTGCCCGAGGATGCCCTCTTGGAGCCACAGCAGAAACTAGACACGGGCGCGGCGGCTTCAAGCTCCTCGGTGGAGTTTCTGCTGGTCCTCGGCTAACTCGTCGAGGCGTTGACGCTTCAGTCACCAGAGGTTATGCGGCCTGTGGGATCCATCAACGCAGAGTGAGGACAACCTCCTCTTCAATTTCCTACCCCCATCGAAAAAAGATGCCTAAAACGTCCGAAAGCGTCAGAGCGCCCCCCCTGCCCCTCCTCATCCGTACCCTCCTCGGCCAGGCCACTTGTACACCGAGGGCTGGTTCGGCATATGCCGGCACCCGAACTACTTCGGCGAGGCCGGCAGAGATGGGCGTGCCGGGCCAGACGGTAAGAAAGAGGAGGAGAGGAAGAGGAGGGGGAGTCGGGCGGGGCTAGGACGAGGACAAATCCGTTCCAGAGCGTTCCAGGGCGCTCTCAGAGCGTTCTGGAACGCTCTGAGAAGGCTGCGGCGCCCGAGACATCCTCCAGAGCTGCCGGATCTCAGAGATTCTCGACTCATCCTCGCCCGAATTTGTCCTCGTCCGTGCTTCGTCTGTGGGGGGGGGGTCGAGAATGTTCAGACGTTTCCGAGGAGGGTTGAGGGGCGACGGAGGGCAGACGGAGGTTGGGCGAGCGGGTCGGGGAGGAGGAGGAGGAAGAGGAGGAGGAGGAGGAGGATCGATGGGAGGGGGTCAGCGAGGGAGGCAGGAGTCTTGGCATAGCTCGCACGTGTGCATTGTCCTTCGGTGAGGACCATCGAGGAGCATCCTTGATAATCCTGCGAAACAAACAGACGCACGACATCGACAAGCGCACGAGGAATAGACGTCCGAGCGATGGCGAGGAGTGGGCAAAGGAGAGTGACGAGGAAGAGGAGGAGGAGGAGGAGGAGGAGGAGGAGGAGGAGGAGGAGGAGGTGCGTGATGATGATCGAAGTTTTTGTACGTGCTGTCTCTGCTTAGGCCCCCGATGTGTCTGGAGTGTCTCTGCTTAGGCCCCCGATGTGTCTGGAGGTTTCCAGGCACCTCCAAGGTAGGTGTCCGGCTGTAAGGAATGCCGCCTCCGCCTGTCCTCCTCTTTCCCTTCCTCCTTCCTCGCCCTGGTACTCGCAGGCGCCGCGCTGGTGCTTGCAGGCATGATGCTCAAAAGTAACGAGGTGGCGCTCGCAGGCAACGTGTGGCGTATCAGGCACAACACCAGTATCAGCAAGCGCAGCGTTGTTTTCTCAGGCACGCGGGCGCATCGCTCGCAGGTCCAACAATCCGCTGTGCGTGCGCACGTGGAGTGCGGAGTGGCATACGCGGAACCGTCCAGAGCGAGATCGCCGTCGTCCTTTTCATATGCGCGCAAGGTGGGGGGAGGATATCATCACTTCCTCTTTCGGGCGAAGAGAAATATGCACATGCACCGATCCTGACAACGTCCATCCTTGACCCAGGATCGGTGCATATACCTTCCTGGCCAAGGTAGGAGGGCGTATGCACCGATCCTGGGCTCAGGATGGGCCTGGCCAGAATCGGTGTATGTGCATAGTACTTTTTCCCACGCCGTGCACGGCAGGTCCTCGTCCCAGGGCCAGCGTGCCTCGCGGGCCTGCCCGCCGTGACGGCGCCGCCCCTCGGGGCGATGGCGGCTGTGACTGCGGCAGGGGGACTGTGGGCACCCCTGCCACGCCGGGTGGGTGCGATGCTGGGCGTTTGCGTCGTGTCGACCAGCGGCGACCCCAGCGCGGGCGTTCAAGGTTGAACGCCGCCGGCGACCCAGAATCGATCGATGTTGAACGATCGGACGTTGCGGCAGCGGCCGATCGTTCAAGGTTGAACGATCCCTGCGGTGTCAAAAACCAACGCTGGGGTCGGCACGACACGAACCTGCCGTAGGCGTTTGCGCGCGTTGCGTCGCCCATGCCGTCGTGGTGCAAGCGGGCAGGGTGCCCATGCTTCGTGTCCGCGCAGGGGGAGGGATAGAGCCCACCCCAGCGCGTCCAGGGGTGCCTCGCATCATCCTCCCCCGCGCCCACCCACGCCGCCTTTGACCCCTAGGAGTACACAAGCACACCTTTCAGGAGGACAGCGAGGACGATCATCACAGGGATTGCGGGAAAGACGTGTAGAAGAGGGGGAGGAGGCGAATGTGGGTGAGCACGAAGGGGAGGATGTGGCGGGGACGGAAGGACAATGGGGATGCCGAGGAAGGCGTTGCGAATGGTTTGGACGAGGAGGAGGAGGAGGAGGAGGAGGAGGAGGAGGAGAAGGACCAAGGAGAATACGAATATACTGATACTGAGCAGCAGGATGAGAAGGCGAGGGCGAGGCCGGGGGACGAGGACGAGGGTGAGGACGGCGTCGAGGCCGACGACGACAACGTCGATGGCGAGCCCGCCCTAGGTTTAGGTCGGGCCTGTCCCTCTACAGGGGGGATACTCAAAAATAGTTAAAATATAGTAAGGGGACGATTTTTGTAGAAAACTTATTTTCTATATTTTTAGAGTATGTTTGGGGTATTCTTAGTTTTCCGTCCAGAATCCGCCTGTAGGAAGACATGCCCGATTTGGGGGGTATTGTTTGAGTATTTTTTATCTTTCGCCCAAAATCCCTCTGAAGGGGGGACACGCCCGACCTAACGCTAGGTGCTGTCCTTCGTGGGCTTTGCCCTGGCCTCCTCGGCCTGGTGGAACATCTGGGCGCCCGCCTCTGGCCCGGGCCCGGCCAGCGGGGCCGCCGTCGCCCGTCGCCCGTCGTCGCCCGTCGTCGCCCGTCGTCGTTGTCGTTGTCGTCGTCGTCGTCGTCGTCGTCGTCGTCGTCGTCGTCGTCGTCGTCGTCGGGCGCTGAGGTTCTCAAGGGGGGGTGTTTGGCGGTTTTTGGATGTGCTGCGGCTTTTTCGAGCATTCGGGGAGCCCCCCAGGAGCCATCGCCGTCCGTCGTTGTCCGTCGTGGTCCGTCGTCGTCGTCCGTCTTCGGCGTGCATGCCGGACGGTGAGCCGTGCAGATGCCCCTCCGCCGTCGTCGTCGCCTGGTGTCGCCATCACCGTTCGTTGCCGCGTCTTCTCCGTTCTGACCTTCGTCGTCCTCATCTTTGTCGCCCGTCGTCATTGTCGTAGTCGTTGCCTTCGTCGTCGGAGGAGGCGAAAGGATGGGGGAGACGAATGATGAGGATGAGGGGGGGGATGGGAGGGGTGGGTGGAGGAGCAGGAGTTGGAGGACGAGGGATGGAAAGGTCGATGAGGAGGAGAAGAAGGGGGAGGATGAAGAGGAGGACAAAAACGATGAGTTCAAGCAGGAGCAAGAGTGGGGATGTGAAGGGCTTGAGCGGGTCCTGGAGCTCAAGATGTGTCTGAAGGTCCTTGGGCAGATTAAGGAGGGAGGAGGAGGGGGAGCTAGGTAGTAGAGGGAGGAGGGGGAGCAGAGGCCGGAAGGGAGGAGGGAGTAGGAGGAATGAGGTCGGGTGACGATAATGATGATGATGATGAGGAGGAGGAGGAACAAGGTGATGCTGAGGAGGAATATGAAGGAAAACAAGAGGGTGGAGGAGGTGAGGGAGAGGATTAGGGGGGAAGGATCCCCACAAACCCTGCCAAGCCAGCAGAAGGGCTCCCAAAAACCTTTCTTAAACCTGCAACAGCCCTTTCCCCTCTCCTCTCTCTGGCCATCCTCCCTCCATCTAACCTCTCCCTCCCTCCCTCCCTCCTCCACCTTCCATCCTCATCGTCGTCATTACCATTCATAATGGTCCTCCCACCGTATCTCCCCCATTGCTCCCCTCCCCTCCTCGCGCACTGCTCGTCCCTCGCCGCTCTACTCCTGCCGCCCTCGCCTCCTCCCTGCTCCTCCACCAGAAGCCGGGCGAAGACCACGAGCCTCTGGGCCACTTCCCGGGGACTGTTTTTTTCTTTGTTCCGAATTGTTTTTGGACTTTCCCGGGGACTGGCGAGGGCCCCCGGAGGCTGAAAGCGGCAAACCTCGGGGGCGGCCAAGAGGGGGGTGATGACTAGGGGGGGGGGGATATCATGGCGTGGGCCGTGAGATTTCCCCAGATTTCATGGCGCCTCTTCTCATTTCATTACGTCCCTGGCGCCCCCCCCCCTGGGCCGCGCACATGCCGCCGGCCATGATTTACACCCACCCCTCTTGGACGCCCCCCCTCTTGGCCGCCCCTGAAAACCAACCTTCGTCATGACTTTTTCGCAAGGGTGCCCCCGAGGGCGCGAAGTTCTTCGCGCTTCGCGGTTCGGTTCGGATGCTTCCTCGTCCGCCTTTTCTCCCCTGGGGGGCGGCGCGGGCGCGCGAGGTGGTTCGCGCTCCCGCGCAGCGCGGAGCGCGGAGTGGGGCGTCATTATTGAATCGCTTCGCTCATTCCGCCGGCCCGTGGGGGCCCCTTGGGGGCCTCGTAGGGCCTCCAAGAGGCCTCTGCGGGCCTCTTAGAGCCTCTTGGGGGCCTCTTGGGGGCGTCTTGGGGGCCTCCTGAGGGCTCTTGGGAGCCTCTTGGGGCCTTTTAGGGGCCTCTTGGGGCTTCCTGGAGGCCTCTCAGGACCGAGGGCTCGAAATGCTGTTTCGTGCTCCCCCTCTGGGGCCGCTCTTGGGGCGCTCTAGGGGCCCTCTTGGGCCGTCTTGGAGGCCTCTTGGGCCGTCTTGGGGCACTCTTGGGCCGTCTTGGGGCCCTCTTGGGCCCTCTTGGGGCGATCTTGGAGGCCGTCTTGGGGCGTCGGGAAACCGCAAAGGTGGAAACACCAACATCTGTCCAAAACCTAAGGAAGAACAATGATTTTTGCATCTTGGGGCCCTCTTGAGAGTGCTCTTGGAGGCCTCTTGGGGCGTCTGGGGGCCTTCTTGAGCGTCTTGGAGCGATGTTGTGGCATCTCGGACATTGGTGTACCATCTTGGGGGCCTCTTGGGCGCTCTTGGCTCTTCTTGGGACTCTTTCTTGGCCCTTCTTGGGACTCTCGGGGACGTCTCGGGGCCCTGTTGGTGCGCTCCTGGAGCGCTCTGGGGGCTTCTCCCAGGACCTTGCCGGGGCACTTTTCGTCCAGGGACCCCCAGGCGCCGCCCCGCGCGCGCGAATTAGAAATACAGTGAACCGGTTACCGGAGATCTTAGCACGCCTCTGGCCCGTTGGGACGACGCGAGCACGTCTCTCTTGGTCCTCGTCCCTTCCTCGCCCTCTCCGATGACGAGCTGGACTGTTCGGGTTGACCCAAAAGGAGTCCAGCGACAAGGGGGTGGTGCAATAGATTTGTGGGGTGGCAATGCATTTGGAGCGTGCAATACGTTCCAGGGCGCAGATGTATTGCTGCATCTTCGCATGCAGCACATGACTTGCGACCCAATGCAATCGAACTCTCCGGCGCAGTACATTTGCAACACAATTGCCCCACATCTGCTGCACCACTCGCTTTCAGCTGGACCCCCTTCTGTCGGGGGAGCGTAAGACCCGGGTTTGCCGGGACTCGGGTTCGCCATCGCTTTTTGACGACCGCGACTCGGATTTTGACGAGGAGGAGTTTTGTGAGATGTCTGCAGCGGGAGGCCTCGTCAAAAGGCAGGCTCGGCCTCGCCATTTTTTTGACGACCTCGTCGGGGATTTCCGAGTCCCCCGTACCCGGGTCTTACGTCTCCCTGATTCTGGGCCACCCAAATCCTCGTCCATTCGCGCCCTCCCCGATGACGAGCTGGATCGTGTGGACGGGGGCACGAGGCGCGGCACGAGAGCCGCCGGCCCGGCCCCCGCGCGGGCGGGCGACCGAGGTGCCGGCGGTGATGGGCGTCGGCCTGGCGCGGGCGTTGGGGGGTCTCCTCCTCCTCCTCCTGCTCGAGGGGGAGGGTGGAGGAGGAGGAGGAGGAGGAGGAGGAGGAGGAGGAGGAGGAGGAGGAGGAGGAGGAGGAGGGAGGAGGAGGATGGGGGAGGAGGAGGACGACAAGGAGGAGGAGAGAAGGATGACAGGAGGAGGAGGAGGAGGAGGAGGAGGAGGAGGAGGAGGAGGAGGAGGAGGAGGAGGAGGAGGAGGAGGAGGAGGGGGAGGAGGAGGAGGAGGAGGAGGAGGAGGAGGAGAGGAGGAGGAGAGGGAGGAGAGGGCGACGACGACGATCACGGCGACGACGACGGCGGATGGGGTGACGTGGAGGAGGAGGAGGAGAGGAGGAGGAGGAGGAGGAGAGGAGGAGGAGGAGGAGGAGGAGGAGCAGGAGGGTCAGGAGGACACTCGCATTAGGTCCGCTCAATGTCAAAAAAGGTGGAGGAGCAGGAGGGGGAGGAGGAGGAGGAGGAGGAGGAGGAGGAGGAGGAGGAGGAGGAGGAGGAGGAGGAGGAGGGAGTGGAAGAGCAGGTGGAGGAGGTGCAGGCAGGTGAAGGAGGTGCTGGCAGGGGGAGGAGGTGGAGGAGGAGGGGCGCCGGAGGAGGAAGGAGGAGCGGACGAGGGGATGAGTGGAGATGGAGGACCAGAGCCACCATGTGCCATCAAGGAGAGCACGGTGTTGTCCGACCCTGCTCAAACCGACACCCTGGCAGGTTCCTGGGTCTTCTGACGGTTACATCGCCTCACCTCGCAGGTGCTCATCTGCGGCCTTCGTTCTATCCTTGAAAAAGCAGTGCGAGTCGGCGCCTGGCAGACATCGAGCATCTGGGTTGTCAGCCTGAACACGAAATGTTAACTAGCTTGGGCCCCGAACAGCGATTGCCTTGCAATCGATGCTGTGCTATCAATGTGGTGCATGCTAAGTAGTGTAGCGCGTGTGGTGCAATCTTTGCAATGCTAGAAACGCAAAGCAAGGTACATCAATGTAAAGCAATGTGCAGCAGCGCAAGGCAATGCAACCAGCGCAAAGCACACTAACGGAATTGACAAAATGCTACACAATGCAAAGTCACGAAACGCAGTGAAACTCAATGCAAATCGATGCAACGCGGTGGAGAGCAATGCAAAACAAACCAAAGCAATGCAAAGCCATGCAATGCCATACAATGCGATGCACAGCAACACAAAGCAATGCAACGTCATGCAAAGCCATGCTAGGCAAAGTAGCGCAACGCAGAGTGACCGCCACCCCCGGTTAACACATCTTCCCCCCCTTAACCCCTGACAGTTTATTTTCCCTGGCCGATGCAGATTTGGTCGTGGGAGGGGCGGTACGGCCGAACTTTATTATTGCGGGGAAAAGTTGCGAATCGAAGCTGCTATCTTCTTAGGTTGACCAGTAACCTCATCAGAAACGTGTGGTATGGCACTGGGGGTCTCACCATTTCAGCTTTCCCAGGTCACGAACGTGTGTCAGGGCTACGGGATTATCACTTTGTCTACCTTTTTCCCAAGTCAGGAGCGCCAATAATCATCATCGTCATCATCATCCTCACCACCACATCAACACCATCACATCACATCATCACCCGCACCGTCCTCATCATCACATCATCATCAGCCTCATCATCATCATCATCATCATCATCATCATCATCATCATCATCATCATCATCATCGTCATCCGATCTGCCGGGGAAGCGCTTCTTCTCCCCGCTCAACCTTGAATTTGATTACCCAGGGGCTCTTATCAGGGGCACAGGGTTCATGCCAAGCAGTGCGACCAGCGGCGACGGGCAGCGACGGGCGGCGGGGGCGAGCGGCGACGGGTGGCGACGAGCCGGCCGGGGCGGCACTCCTGCTCCGTTGTCTTAGAGCGAAAGCGGGAACCTTTAAGTGCAAGCACGATTTGGGGAATTTGCAAGACAAGCGTTGGGCACGGCACTCGTGAAACAAAACATTACCTGCAGTCGTTCTCGGTGCCTTTTCCTGTGCTCTCGGTGTATCGCTCATTGCAGTGCCAGGCAGCACTAAAGTAACCCCATGCCCACGATAATAATGTACCCCCCCCCCTTAAGTAGTTCGAGTTTTTTATCGTCGACCAACAAGAGTTTGGTCGGGGGCGCGGGGGCGCGGAGGCCGAACTTCATTATCACGGGAAAAGTTCGCCATCGAGGTTATTTCCTTCTTATGTTGAGATAGCAACATCAAACGAAGCGAACACGTTGTTTCAGGATGTCTCAAGCGAAACCAATGTCCTTCTGTTTCTTTGTAGTTATTTCTGTCTCTCTTTCTTTCTTTCTCTGTCTCTCTCTCTCTCTGTGTCTCTCTATCTCTTTCTCCTCCTCCTCCCTCTGGCGCCCTGAAATTGTTTATCGCTGGGGTTGATTATCCTGGGAACACGAGGCACGTGAGCTACCCTATACGAGCAGATGAAACTTTTAATTTTCATCAAGCGTTAACAAATTAAATCTAATAAGTTTGAAACTTTGGATGTTTGCTATCTCCTTCTCCTCTCCTCCTCTTGCTCTTTCTCCTCCTCCTCCCTCAAGGATATCTCAAGCGAAACCGATGTTCTTCTATCTCTTTGTAGTTATTTCTGTCTCTCTCTCTCTCTCTTTCTTTCTCTGTCTCTCTCTCTCTCTGTCTCTCTATCTCTTTCTCCTCCTCCTCCCCCTGGCGCCCTGAACTTGTTTATCGCTGGGGTTTATTATCCTGGGAAAACGAGGCACGTGAACTACCCTACACGAGCAGATGAAAATTGTAATTTGCATCAAGCGCTTACACATTAAATCTAATAAGTTTCAAACTTTTGATGTTTGCTATCTCCTTCTCCTCTCCTCCTCTTGCTCTTTCTCCTCCTCCTCCTCCCTGAAGGATGTTTCAAGCGAAATAAGCAATACTTTGAAGATGTCTCAAGCGAAACAGACAAATAATGTCTCAAGCGAAACAAGCAATTCGTTGAGGATGTCTCAACCGAGACAATCCTCTGGCTTTTTCCTCTTGATATCTCTTTATACTGGCTCTGGCGGGCAACTTTTATTATCTCCCCGAAAACCCCGAACTTTACTATCTCTGGGGGTTTATTCTCCGAGGTTTAGGGTTATTCAGCTTCGATATATCGTCAACTTGTCGCCCAAGGCCCACTGCGGTTTCCAGAGGGGGCGTATGTTTCTTGGTTCGATTGTTCCGTGGGTGTTCCCCCGGCTTTTGCAGTGCATCTAGGCATAATGGAGGGAGATGATGATGGAGGAGGAGGGGGAGGAAGAGGAGTGGGAATGTGACAGGGTGAATTATGTTGATGACGAGGTGGAAGTAGGATTGGGAGGAGGATGAGGAGGAATATGATGAGGAGGGAGTAAGTAAGTAGGAGGAGTTAGGAACATAAACATAATTTGCAAATGAGGAGTACGTCGCCAGGCGAGGGGGGCGGGCAAGCAGGGGTGGAGTGGGGAGCGGAGCAAGAGAGGACATGGCGAAAGCGCGGGGCGGTGAGGGAGAGCGGATGGCACGGGGATCGGGGAGCAGTGAGGGGCGGGAGAAGCGCGAAGCCAGAAGAGAAGAGCGAGGAGCAGCGGGCGAGACAGAGCTGCAGTAAGAAAAGAGGATCGTGTCTGAGGGGGGAGAGGAAAAAACACACAGATCGGAGGCGAGGGGGCGAGATCGCAGTGAAACGGAGAGCCCCTCACTGGGAAACATCAGCTTCGGTGTCGTGTTCGTGTCGCGCGTGCGGGCGAGGCGAAGTGGTGTGGCCCGGCGAGGCGAGAACCGTCTGGCCAGGGCGGCACCGGGCCACAGGACCGCCCCCCTCTGGTTGTGCGGCGGTGGCCAGGGCTGTCCCGCGCCCCGCGCCCCGTGGTGGCCCCCTCGGTGGCCCGTCGGTGCGCCGTCGGTGGCCCGTCAGCGTGTCGCATCGGTGTCCCGTGGTGAGATCTACAGTGGGACCCGTATGTGGTGAGGCCGATAGGGCGATCGATAGTGGCATCGGCAGTGGGATTGATAGTGAGATCGATAGTGAGAGCGATCGTGAGAGCGATCGTGAGATCGATTGAGTCAGACGCTGGTTCATCCCCCCAGAGCCTCAGACAGGATGAGATAGAGGAGGATGGGGCGGGTGGTAATGGGGACTGACCTAAATGGGGGACGATGACAAGTGCACGAAAGGGCCCTTTTAGGGCCCTGTTCTTCACCCCCTATTTAGGTCACCCCCCATTTACCACCCGCCCGAGACGAGGAGGAGGAGGAGGAGGAGGAAGAGGACCTTCAAGTGTTAGAAAAGGAGCAGCAGCAACAGCAGGGCGGAGGTTGCCGATGCAGAGGTAGGGCGGGGGTGCGGAGAGGAGGAGCAGCCGCGTGGCGGAGGATGCGGATCAAGGCGAGGGGGGGAAGCGAGTTGAGGGAGGAGCGAGGACAGGGGAGGAGTGGGGTGGGCAGAAAAGATGGGAAGCGCCGGGACGGGGAGTGGGGAGGTTGGCAGACAAGGGGGGGGACGAGAGAGGGCGGAAGGAGGAGGAGGAGGAGGAGGAGGAGGAGGAGGAGGAGGAAGAGGAGGAGGAGGAAAACCGAGAAGGAGGCGGGTGGACGTAAGCTGGCCGTGTGTTGGGTCAGGCTGCCCTGGTGTCCAGCGGCGAACCTCTGAGGCCATGCCGCGTGCTGCTCGGCGCAGTTGCGGGGGCGGGAGGCCTTCTTCAGCGTCCCGGAGCTGGACACCTATCTGAGCCAGAGGTACGCGGTGGAGTGGGCAGCGTACGCCGAGAGGGTGACCTGCTTGCTGCTTAGTTGAGCTCGTACTTCTGGTCCAGGCCTCCCAGATAGCCAGAGGATCGTGCCGCATCGTCGATGCATCGCCGATGCGGCTCGATGCGGAGTGGTTTTCTCCACGCGGACGTCGCCGATGCATCGACGATGCAGCGTGATCCTCCGACCCCATCCACTCGGACCCTACCTAGGAGGCCTCTAGTTGAGCCAGTCCTCCTGGTTTCTCTCAGGGGCACGAGAATGACCGCGCTTCGCGGCTTCGTCCAGAAAGCTGCACTTCTCCGGGGGAGGGCAGCGCGATTGCGCGCAGATCGCAGCCCGTCGTGCAGAGCGGGTCCCGATGCGTGAGGTTTGGTGACCCAGGCAGGTGTCCTGCGATCCCACATGGGGACACCTTGCTGGCTAGGTTCGGATCTCAGCGAGTGCAGCCGTTGGGTGATCGGGCCGTCGGTTGATCTAGTTAGGATTCTGATGGGTCTACTCAGGTCTGTAGCGCGTGAGCGCTGACGTGATCGCAGCTTCCGTCAGCCGTGCGGACGGGCTCACAAGAGTTGTAACCAAGGCCAGATGGTGCCCTTCGTCTGGTGATCCGTGGCCGCGGCGGTCACCGTTGCCAGGCGCACCGGCGTGCAAAACAGTTGCGGGCCGAATCCCTCGGCGTGTCTTCGCCGTTGCAGCCGTTCTCTTTCACTTGCCACTTCCTTCCTCCTCTCTCTCTCTCTCTCTGGCTCTGCCTCGCTGTGTATGCGCCTTTCTAAATGGTCCCGCTCTCTCTCTCTCTCTCTTTCGCTTTATCTCGCTCTGTTTGTGTGTGTGTGTTTGCATTTCCCCGCTCTCTTTACCTCCGTTTCTTCCTCTCTCTCTCACTCTCTCTCTGCCTCTCCCGCATCCTCTGGCTTCACTGGCTTTGGATGCCGCATGGCATCCGTGGAAGCGTGGAGGAGGAGGAGGAGGAGGAGGAGGAGGAGGAGGAGGAGGAGGAGGAGGAGGAGGGGCACACGCATCCCCACTCTCTTCATTCCCCTTCCTCGTTCCTCCTCCCGCGTAGGCACTTCTGGCTCCAGCGCAGCAGAGTCCAGTCCAGCCTGGCTTTGACGTTCGGTGCAGCAGGTGCGTCAGATGAGAAGCTGGCCTGCCCGCAGGCGCCCCACAGAAGTGGATCATCCCCCGAGGGGGCACCCTGGGAAGATCAGAGTCGACCAAGAAACGCACGACACCACCCCACCCACGGCGCGCCGTGGTGGATGTTTGCGACCTTGCCTCGCTGTCCTTCGCGTGGTGTTTCTTGGCCGACGATGGCATGATGGTGACGTGCTGGGGAGCACGTTTTGTCGATCTCTGCAGAGATCGACGAACCGTGTGCCCCAGCCTCTCTGTTTGCAATATATTTTGCCGTATATGCCTGCTGCACTGGACGGCTTGCATTCGCGAGGGGTGCCTCCATATAGCTAGCTTTTGGCTGGCACGACGCACCACTTTTCCGCGAGGCAGAGGCAGTCCGCTCCAGCGTGTGGCTATTCGGGGCGACCGAAAGGCGAATTGACTGGCGTGCAAGAGGAAGGAAACAAATCGAGGGCGGCTGGTACGACGCAGCACAGCAGGGGCCACGCCGGCCAGCTGTTCCCTGCGTGGCGGCGGGCTGCCCTGCCAGCGCCGCCAGGGGGCCTGGTTCCGCAACAGCAGGGGGCACGGACGGGGCCAGCGTGGGCTCCGAGCAGACCTCGAGCACCCCCAGACCGCGCCGTCCTTCAGAAGTTTTAAAAAGGTGCCGATGCCGCTGCCCTTTTTGGGGCCTCCTGGGAGGCCCTCGTCGCCACGGCTGGACTCGCCTCGAGATCACCCCCAGAGAGAGAAATTCGGGGCGTAGCGGTATCGGGATTTTGTGGGTTTCCCCAGGAACGCCCCCAGACCGCGCCGTCCTGGTCCTTGAGGTTCGAGGCTCCTGGATCGAGGTGTTCGGGAGCGTCGCGGCCATGCCTGGCCCTCCACGGAGCACCCCCCAAGACGTGCGATGTACGGATGTTTTGCAAAACAGGGGTCCCGGGAGTCCCGACCTCTTCCCCGGGGCCGGTTTTGCGCCCCGAGTCGTACGGGCCCCCAGACCGAAGGCGGTCAACATTTGTCCGCCGTGATGTTTTCCCGACGGGAGCAGGTCTGGAGCTGCCCGACGGGCGTCCCGAGGCACCAGAACTCAGGGGCGGCCCCACCGACCCCTAGCAGCCCATCCCCTTGCACGACGTACCCTTCGCCTCACCCCAAGATGTATGCATGCGGCTGGAGGGAGGCCTGGAGGACGAGGATGACGTCACGCAAGGTGTTGGTCACGGTAGGGGTCAGTTAGGCCGCGCCCGGCAGAACATGGCACGAGCATGCCCCGAGCACGACCCGAGCAGGGCCCGAGCCTGTGCCAGAGCCGCCACGAGCGCGCCCCGAACGGCCCGGGGCGGCGCCCCAAGGCAAAGCACGGCGCCCGCCGCTGCCGCCGCGCGGCGCCCGCGGGCGAGGTGCCGCGCAGCCGGAGTGCGGGCCCGCGGGCGAGGACGTCGCGGCGCTGGCGGGCCAGCGCATAGCGCAGCTCCCCAAGGTGCCCGACTGAGTCGGGCGACGCCTCCGGACCCTTGCGTCTGCGCTGGTCGCCCGAGCTGGCGAGCTGGCTCGTCAAGAAGGCGGGCCCGCGAGCGCTCTGGGCGCCCTGGCGGCCGAGGAGGGCGCCCTCGCGCGCGAGGGGGCGGCGCCGCCGCCACGGGGCGGCACTCTGCTCCGACGCCGCCGGCGGCGCCAGGGCGCGCGGCCAGTGCGGTTCCCGCGCGCTGCCGCGCAGAGGGCCCACCTCTCCGCGGGGCGGGCGGCCGTCCAGAGAGCTCTCGATTCTGGACCACCCCTGTGGTGATGGGCCAACTTCCACCACCACTACCATAGGCAGGACGGGGGAGAAAGGATAATAAGAATGTATTATTTTTCTTCTCCCTCCTCCTCCTCCTTCTCCTCCTCCTCCTCCTCTTCCTCCTCCTCATCCTTCCTCTTCTACCCACAGTGGTGGAAAATCGGCCCATCATCGAGGCCTCGTGAGGGGTGCCGTGGGGGCCTCCTTGGAGATCTTGGGGTCACCTGTGGCCATGGGCGCTTCTTGCAACGCCCAGCTCTGCATTTGATTGGACGGATCTCTAGGCCTCTTCCGCCGCGTCGGGCGGTGTGCGTTCGAAGCAGGAGCGCAGCAGAACCACAGAGAGGCGTGGCATTGCCCGTGTAGCTCCGCGCGCGTGGCACGTGCTTCTGAGCGAGCACAGGCACGGCACAGCCGTGTGAGATGTTAGATCGCCTTGGACAGGTAATTCTACACAGAGGCTAAAAGACAAGACCTTAATCTGAACCAGGAAAGCAATATCCCAAATTATTCGAAATAGGGGAACGCTTTACAACGATTCAGAACAGGGGCGTTGCCAAATCCCCAGGACAGCGAGGAATCGACAGCGCACCTCAGCATCAACCCAGTGGCTGGGGAGCCGCCGCGACATCTCCAACAACATGTTCCCTCCTCCGTGCGGGAGGGAGGTGTGCTGTCACTATGCGCGGTGGCCCGAATACCCACAGGCCCGCATGCGCCCCTGCAGGTCACGAGCCGGGCAGGTCCCGCTTGCTTTTCGGCCCCTGCCTCCTCCTCCTCGCATCGCATCCCCCTCCCTCTTCCCAGGTCGCTGTCGTATTCATCGTCGACATATCGGCCCCCGTCGTCTTGGGAGGAGTGATTGAGGAAGGGGAAGACAAGAAGGAGGAGGAGGAGGAGGAAGAACACGGAGGATGGTGGGCAGGAAAAGGAAGAGGAGGAGGGGGAGGAGGACAGCTAGGAGGTTTGGAATCGCATTTTGTTGTCGGATGTGGGAGGGCTTTAGGCGGCGCTCACTGAGTTGGAAGAAGAGGGAGGCGAGGTAGAGGAGGTGGAGGATGACGGAGGGTGAGAGAGGAGAACGATGAGGAGGACGAGGGGCAGAGTAGACATGAGCAGACCCAATATGCATCAATGGCGTTGCAATGCCATCCCGTCCAAAATCACCCCCCGTCCCTGCGAACTTTCCTGATTCACCACAAGAAGCGACCCTTTGAAAGACCAGCGCCCCGTGGGCCCGCCATTCGGGCAAGAGCCCCGTTCGGATCAGGAGCTGCCCCTGCGCCCTTCGAGCGACCAGCGCTGAGCGCGAGAAGGTGTGACCAGGCAGCCTGTCGAGGTGTCCAGCGAGACCCCCGCTTGCAAAGTGCACCGCCCCACCTGTGAAAGTGCAGGGGTACATGTCTGGCCAGAAACTGCAGAGGAGCCGTGCGGGAAAATTCCCGCGTGAACAGGAACCACCGCCCACCCACGCATCCTTTACATATGTTCGATGTTTTCGTGGTTTTAGATGAAGGATGTCCCAGGCGAGAGACCCACTTTCAAAAAGTACCATCCTCGATTCCCTTAACCGCTTTCATCTTTTAAGGCGAATGCGCGTGGCGCTGAAGGTGGAAGATCCGTTTTGAAAAAGACGCGCCCTCCATCCTTTCCATATGTGTAAGTTTTTCAAATCGAACGTGCGCAGAAGTCAAGCGAGAGCCCCAATTTGGGCAGAAGCCGTTCTCCATCCTTGCAACATCTGTAGGTTTCTGGGCCAAAGCTGCGCGGCGATATCCTACAGCGATGCACCTGCGCACGCACTGAAAGCGGCGAGCATTTAGGCCTGACTCCAGCACCTTCCGAAGTGGTTCATATTATAAGGTTGCTCTCGCCGTCCCGCGGCGTTCCCACCCTTCCCTCCTGTCTACTTGTTCCCCTGTGCGCAGTTCGCCTCCGACGCGTCCTACCGTTGGCTGACCGCCTGCTGGATCCAGCTCTCCGCAAATAAAGAGGTTAGCGGCGCTGAGGCGAGCCACAAGTTGAAATGTCACCGCCCTCCATCCTGGTAACACGTTGCAAGCTCGTAAGACGAATGTGCGCGAGGCTACGGCGAGAGCCATAGTATGAGCACGACATCTTTTCCATCCGTGTAACTGCTTCACACTTTAGGGAAACGAATGTGCTCAGCGCCAAGAGGGTCACGCTTCTGATGGTGAAAACCACGTGTGATCTATGTTTGTAACTTTTGTAACTGTTGTGATCTTTTGCGACGAATGTGCGCGGCGCTAGGGCGATAGCCCCATGTTGAAAGCCATGCGTGTTCAACTCATGTTTTCCAATGCGTGGAATTTGGACGAGAGCCACATTTTGAAAACCGTTTGGCCTCTACCCGTCTAACTTTTGAAAACGCTTCGGACGAATATGCGCGGCGCTAAGGCGAGAGCCACATTCTGAAATTCATCTTCTGTGCCATCAGTGTAATTGTTGCAACGTCAAGCTTCCTGTTCAGAACTGGTGGGGAAGTCTCCAGGGAAAATACCCTGCCCACCCTACCGATCTTTCAGGGGGTGCGTCATGGGAGAGTTGAGAAATCGATAGTGAGGGGACGGGTGACGAATAGGTGGAGGAATTGGAGGCGGAGGACGACGACAACAAGAAGGAGGAGGAGGAGGAGGAGGAGGAGGAGGAGGAGGATAGGGGGGCGGGAGGACGAGGGAGGAGGAGGGCGAGGAGTTTCCGAGTTCTGTTTGTCAAGGCTCTCGAGAACCACCGGAGGGGCTCTGACGCCTTCGATGGCTTCGGGATGACCGAGCACGGAGTGGATCTGTGCCGGACCCACACGCAGCCGTTTCGGCTCGGGCGACTGCCCGCTCGAGCGCCTGCGACGCCCCTTGACAGCGCGACCCCGCGAACCGTACAGCAAGCTCGCGCTGCGCTGTTTGCGCGCAGCCCCGAGGCACCCCGCCGCCGGCACTTGGGGAGCCCGGTTCGATGCCGCGCAGCGCGGCCGTGGCGGCGTTGCTGCAGCTGGCCGTGGTGTGTTCGCTCGCCGTGTCGGTCCAGCACGCGCCCAGCGAAGGTGACGAGGGGCTGTCCGCGGTCGAGGAGCACACCGGGGCCACCAGGAGGGTGCGAAGATCGTCACGGTTCGCGCTTCGCGGTCTGGGCGATTTCAGAGCGAGGCGCGAGTCCCTCATACTGTTCCGAGAGGGGGAGGGGCGGAGCTAAAGCGCGAAGATTATCGCGCTTCGCCCGAGCGCGTAACGCGAAGATAGCGACCGTCGAGTACAAACCAGCATCAACATAAGCTTTCCGAGCTCCGCGTGGATTTCTCAGATCGGCGCTAGGGCCCCTTGGCGGCGCCTCCAGCGCCACCCTCGGCGCGTTTCGCGCGCCAGTTGGGGGTTCGAACGCCGATCTAAGAAATCCGCGCGGACCTTCACAAGTGTATGCTTATCATGTTGTTGTTCCTCTACGCGGTCCGTTCGGATCGGCTGCGCAGTGGGCTGCATTACGACGGGATCGGTTCGGTATGGTCTTGTTGTTCCTCTATGCGGTGCGTTCGGATCGGCCGCGCAGTCGGCGGCATTACGACGGGATCGGTTCGGTATCGTATTGTTGTCCCTCTATGCGGTGCGTTCGGATCGGTTGCGCAGTCGGCTGCATTCGGTCGGGATCGGTTCGGTATCGTTTAGTTGTTCCTATACGCGGTGCGTTCGGATCGGCTGCGCAGTCGGCTGCATTCGGTCGGGATCGGTTCGGTCGGCTGCTACGCTGCTGCGCCCTACTAGGCTTCTTCCGGTCCATCAGTTCGGTCGGCATCCGTTTCGCAGTTCGGCAGATCTTCGGTCGTGCTGTCGCTGTGGGCGGCACTGCAAAGAAGAGGCACGCCTGCTGATGTGGTGCAGAGTTTCTGAGCCTCGGGAGGCCCGTTTTTTGGGCACAGGGGCTATCAGAAAGCAGCCCAGAGCGAAACAAGCGATCCTTGGGGATGGAGTCGAGAGCTCGGGGAGCCTCTTATAAATGGGCGGCGAGCGAGGGGGGAAGTGAGAAGGAGAAGGCCCTCTCAGAAGGCGGCAAGGCTTCTCAGAAGCCCTGGCGTCTTTGACTGGTTTCCCGCGTCTTCGGGGAAGGCTCCGACAATATCTCGGCAGGTTGGGAGGCTTCAGAGCCTTCCGAGGAGGCCCGCCCCTTCTCACTTCCCCCCCGGGCTCGCCGCCGGCTCTGGGGACGGACTTGAGAGCTCGGGGAACCCCTCATAAACCAGGAGGGGAAAAACACAGACACAATGAATCGTCGACTCCCAAGAACATATAGGAAAATATGGGAAGTGGGGGGGAAGACAAGAACGCGGAAAATATAGGGAAATATGGGGATTCCTGTTATTTGTGTCTATTTATTTGTGTGTCCCAGGGCTCCTTCAATAAAACAATCGAAGCACGCGACGACGCATGTCCAATGGAGCTCGTGGGGCCCCCACCGCTGCCCCGGCCACCGCTGCGTTAGCCCGTGGCCTGATTGCCTCGGGCAGCCAGGGAAGACGCCTCGGGCTGCCTCGGGCTGCCTCGGATTTCGACCCCGCGGGCGCCCAGCGAGGGCGATGCCACGTGTTCGATGCCTTCTCATGGGAACGTCTTGGGCGGCGACATCGAAGTTAGCTTTTCCTGCCTTTGGACCGCATTTGCCTCGTTTTGTTGCTCCTCCTCGCCCTTCCTGTTCCTCCTCCCCCTTGTTCTTCTCGTCTCCCTCCTCCCCCTCCCCCTCCCCCTCGTTTCCCTTCCTTTTCCCCCCTCCTCGTTCTTCTCGTCTCCCCTGCGAAGGGGCGAGTCCAGCCCACAATCCAGCCCCGAAGGTGTGTCCAAGTCTGGTCCAGGCCAGGCCCAGCACGGACAGAGCCGGGGGCCACGCCGGCTCCTGGGGAGCCGGCACCGAGCACGTTCGACTGGACGTGAGAGTGACTCCTCGCTGGAGGGACCGTCCCTCGGATCTTGGCGCAGGGTGTTTCTGTTGCCCGGACCCGGGCCCCGGGACCTTCGCAGATCGATCAAGCTCGAGACATGACGCAGAAAGATGGGGGTCGGAGCGTTGGATCTCTGGGTTTGGTGAGGGCGGAATGGGGCCCGCGCTCGCCAAGCGCGAAGCGGCAGCAGCGGCCTGCGCGCCCAGGTTCGGTCCCCCCGCGCCCCCGCGCGGAGCCGCGCACCCAAGGCTGGTCACTCCTGCCCAGGGCCACTCCTGCGTGTAGCCGACACGCGGAATGCTCTCTGAGAAGGCCGCGGCGCCCGCGACATCTTCCAGAGCCGCCAGATCTCAGAGACTCCCGATGTATCCTCACCGGAGCTTCTCCTCGTCGCGCCGCATCGCAGATGCATCGCCGATGCGGCTCGATGCGAAGTCCGATTAGCTTCACGTCGATCGATGTCGCCGATGCATCGCCGACGTCGACGATACATCACCGGTGCATCATGCATGCATCGCCGATGCATCGCCGATGTATCGACGATTCGGCGCGATCCTCCTACACCTTAGGCGATGCTTAAGAAAACTTGAGTTTTCGGCCAGAGTCTCGATTATTCTTAATGTTTCAATGTAAGGCCTAAGACTTTCATGGAAATGTTTGGTTTTTATTCAAGTTCCGAGACTATGAATTTCTTAACCCATGATTTCTTAAGCATTTCGCAGGGTGTACTCCGACCCCGTCTAGGAGGCCTCTATCTATCCTCGGCGGGAGGCAGGCGGCAGACGTGCGGAGGCTGGCGGCGGCCCAGAGGATTCGGGGTGGCGTCGAGCAGCGGCGAAGCGTCCCGGCTTGCCAGCAGGCCTACCAAACAATAGTCTGAGACCTTTCTTTCGGGAGCGGAAAAGAGGGGGGTGATGACTAGGGGGGGGTGGATCTCATGGCGGGGGCCATGATATCTCCCCAGGTTTCATGGCGCCTCTTCTTATTTCATTACGTCCTTGGCCCCCCCGCTGGGCCGCGCACATGCCGCCGGTCATGATTTGCACCCCCCCCTCTTGGACACCCCCCTCTTTGCCGCTCCCGAGATGTTCTTAGAACATTTCTGGCTCAGGTCGTCCTGTTGTCCTACGTCGGCGTTGTGTTCTGAGAGCGTTGTCTTTGTTGTGAGAACAGCTCCTGTGCAAATGATACGCAGTGGTAATTAGGCGTGTAGGAATGCCGCGACGGTCAGTCCCTGCTCCAGTTCTGGAGGGAGGGGGAGCATAACTGACACGCCGCCGTTGGTAACCCGTCGGTCAGAGGAGGAAGAGGTACCGATACCGCTACTCTTCCTCGTTTCCGCCTTTTGGGGCCTCCTGGGCAGGGGTGGACCTAAACAGTGTTTTGGCGATTTCGTGGGCCGTTTTCGTGTCGATGTCGTTTTGCAGCACAGGCGAATTCAAGACAAAACGAGGAACAACGAAAACAAAACGAAAACGAAAAACACGGTTTAGGTCCAGCCCTGCTCCTGGGATGCTCTCGTCGCCACCGCTGGACTCGCCGCGGAATTCTGGTCGGGACGCACCTCGGGAGACGTTCCGGGAGTGGCGGTTGTCGGTACTTATTTGTTTTCCTCCGTCGGCGTGCCGTTCTTTCATTCTTGGCCCAGAGTCTCTGTATGTTTTGCCGCAAGTAGAATTAAGTCGGGCCTGTCCCCCTACTGGGGGAATCTTCAATTTTTTAAGAAATAATAGTATGGGGACGATGTTTGGATAATGTTTTGTTATTTAATCGCTTCGCTCATTCCGCTGGCCATCGAGCGCTCTATGGGGCCTCTTTGAAGCCTCTTGGGGGCCTCTTTGGGGCCTCCTAGGGGCCTCTTGGGGGCCTCTTGGGGTCTCGTAGGGGCTCCTTGGCGGCGTCTTGGGGCCCTCTTGGGGCTCTTGGGGGGTCTCTTGGGGCGGGGTAGTCGAGTGCACTCCCCCCGGAGGCCACGATCCTCGTGATGGGGTGTCGAAAAAAGGCCCTCCAAACCACCTCTGGGTAGACTTGGTCGGGCTGCGGTCGGGATACTTTTCGCCGGGGGACCCCCAGGGGCCGCCCCGCGCGCGCGAACTATAACTATTGTTAACCAGTTACTGGAGATCTTAGCACGCCTCTGGCCCGTTGTGCCGGCGAATTTGTGGGTATGTTTGTTTGCATGTTTGAAATGTTTCGTCCAAGATTTCCCTGTAGGAGGACAGGGCCGACTTAACAGTAGCACGTCGATGGGATCAAGAGTGGCACGTTGATGGGCTCCCACGGCTGTCGGCAGTGCAAAGGATTCGCGATGGAGACGTAGTATCAGTGACGGGTCGCCGTTGGTAGCCCTTCAGCGTGTTACTCTGGGCCTCCCAGATGGGGTCCGAGTAGATGGAGTCGGAGGGCTTGCGTCGCATCGCCGATTCATCGCCGATGCGGCCCAAAGTGGAGCCCGATTTTCTCCGCGCTGGCGTCGCCGAAGCTCCGCCGAAGCTCCGCCGACGTTGCCGATGCATCGCCCGCCGATGCATCGGCGATGCATCGGCGATGCTTCGGCGATGCGGCGGGATCCTCCGATCCCATCTGCTCGGAACCCATCTGGGAGACTTTGAGTCATCTCTTCCCGGCGACCCCTGGCGCACCTTCGGCAGCAGCACGCTGCTGGAAGCCGGGGTCCTCCTGAGCGGCGGCGTGTCGCCGGCAGCGGTTTTTTGCATCCTCCCCGCGGGGCGGCGGCTCCGCCGGGAGGGGCCAGCGGGACGTCGGCGGAGGCCTGCGGAAGTGGGTGCAGCCTGCGCCGATCGGGAAAGTCAGGAGCGAAAGGAACACACAGACACAATGAATCGTCGACTCCCAGGACAATACAGAAAAACATGGGAAGGGGGGGAGACGAAAACATAGAGAGTATAGGAAAATATGGGGAAACCTGGGATTTATGTGCATTTATTTGTGTGTCCCTGGGCCCCTTCAAAGGGAAAGCGCCACAAACACAAACGTTTGGCGCTCCGCGCGGGTTTCTTGGATCTGCGCTGGGCACCCCTGGCGGCGCCTCCGGCGCCGCTCCTGGCGCGTTCCGCGCAAAGGTATCGCAAAAGCATTGCTGACGCATCCTCAGTGCATCGCCGATGCATCGCTCGATGCATGGGCGCCTCGCGGCGCCAGGAAAGCCAGCTGCGTGAGCCGATTCTCCACTCTTGCCTTTGCTATCCTGCCCTGTCGTGCTCCCCGTTCCAGCCTTGCGGCAGCGGTGGGTGTCGAGAACGCCTCGGATAGGCCTCTGATTGGTGCCACGATGGCGCAGCGCGAGTTCCGTCCAGTGTGACCCGGTTGTGGGCCATCATGCGAGCGTGGTGTAAACAGCACCGACCACATTCGACCACGAGAGAAGGCGTTGTATCTGCTACGGCGCGGCAGTAGTAGGGCATGGCGGCGTCCAGGGGAGGGGGGCAGAGAAACTCCACCGAATGTTCGAAGTGGGCGAAGGTGGTGGACTGATGGGCAACCCCGCGGACATCGAGAATGTGGAGACTGGTACGACATGGTTTTCAGTGCGGATCAAGGTTTCGCAGTCATCCTCCGCTTCCTCCTTTCTCCCCCCTTCACCTCCCACCTAACTCCCCCAGACATCTGGCATCGCGAGCTTTCCATGACTTGAGCTCCCAGACATCTCGGCCCTATCCCTGGGGCCAGCTTTCCACCCCTGGTCGTTCCTGATGGTCCTGGGGCCTGGGGCGTATTCTTCTGTGCCTTCGGAGGCCCAGTGCGAGGACGAACCATAAGCCGTGATTTTCTGACGGCGCTCGAGGTCTGCGTTCTCCTCCTCCAAGGTGCCGACGGGGGAGTCAGCCTCGAAGGAGCCCCAGGCGAAGCTCATGGGCTGGCAGCTGGGCAGCGAGCAGGGGAGCCCGGTCCAGGTCCTGAAGATCCGTAGCCAAGGCATCGTAGCTCGCCACAACGCCGGCGGCGGGGAGAGGCCGATCCTTGCTGGGGACGAGCTGGTCGAGGTGAACGGCGTCAAGTGGAGCGGGGACACCCGTGCCTTCGAGGCTCTACTCGGCCATGAGATCCAGGACATGCCGCCTCCCTCTCCTCCATCCTCCCAGTGCTTCCCCCTCCTCCTCCTCCTCCTCCTCCTCCTCCTCCTCCTCCCCCTCCTCCTCCTCCTCCTCCTCCTCCTCCTGCTCCTACTCCTCCTCCTCCTCCTCCTCGTCCTCGTCCTCCTCCTCTTCCTCTTCCTCTTCCTCCTTCTCCTCTTCCTCCTCCTCCTCCTCCTCCTCCTCGCAAGTCGAACATCCTCCCCGTTCGCACTCCTTTTCCCCTGTCTCCCCCCACATCACATCTGCAAGAGCAGCACTCGCACATTCGAGTGCTGCTCTTGCAGATGGCAATCGCCCCGCGGGTCACCCCGCGGGAGTGCGAAATGGCAATCGCACATTCGCGCGTCGCGCTCTGGGCGGTGGAGCGGCCGCTCTGCTCCCAGGGGGGCGGCGCGCAGGGTGCCCGAAACTCCTCGCGCGCCGCGCATCGCGGGGCGCGGGGTCGCGGAGTCGAGGAGGAGGAGGAGGAGGAGGATGAGGAGGAGGAGGAGGAGTGAGGAGGAGGAGGAGGAGGAGGAGGAGGAGCGAGGAGGAGGAGGAGGAGGAGGAGGAGGAGGAGGAGGAGGAGGAGGAGGAGTCCTTTCGGGACCTTTCGGGCTGCCAGCGTCGTGGCTCTAGCCTCGCGCGCGCGCCTCGCGCGCGCGCCTCGCGCGCGCGCCGGGCGGCGGCGCCTTCCACGGGCCGCGGGCCCCGCTCCCTGGCCGCTCCCCCGGGTGTGCCCGCTTTCTCAGCGGGCTCCCCGGGGTGTGCGGCGCTGGGCGGGCGCACCGCGGTCTCACGCCGGGCAGGCCATCGCTTCTCCTCCTCCTCCTCCTCCTCCTCCTCCTCCTCCTCCTCCTCGTCCTCCGCGCATTCCACCTCGCCCCTGCCCCCCCCCTCAGCCCGCTCGGGGGCGCCGGCGCCCTGCCCAGAACTCTGCAGAGGGGCATGCGGAGGTCTCACGCTGGGCAGGCCATCTCTTCTCACGCTTCTCTCACCAGCGGCTGCTGCACGAGGGGGTTCACAATGCCCTGCAGCTTCTTCCGCTTGCTCTCGAGCTCGTCCTGCTCGGCGAGTTGGTTCTTGTCGAGCCGGTCGAGGGTGTCCTGGACTGCCTTCTCGACTTTTCTCCTCTGCGCCGTCCTCGGACTTCTCTTTGAGCTTCTGCTCCCTCAGCGTGTTGCGCATGGCGAAGCAGTAGTTCTCGAGGCCGGTCTTGGACTCTCGCATCTTTCTCGCACGCTCTGCTCCCAGCTTTGCAGCTGATGATGTCGGGCGCAGTTTTCGCCTCCCACTTCTCGCACTTCTCGCTGTGAGTCTGATATCCTCGAGGATCTCCCCGAGGCGCCTCGCGAGAGGCGACATCTCCTCGTTGTAGCTGTCGACGTCGGGCTTCGGTTTCGCCTCGTCCTCCTGCTTGCGCTGCCCCATGCTCGGGCCTAGCCACTTGCGGGAGATCTCGGCGCGCGCCCGCCACATCGCCGCGCTTGTGCAGCTCGATCCAACTGAGGCAACGAGGAGCAACGGGGAATGACCGGCGATATTGGGCTCCAGCTTCGCCTGTTCGACAGGTGCAGCCACTGCTCGCCCTTCTCGCACACGCGTCGCTCGCCGTTTCTCACATGCCCAATGCTCTGAGCTGTGGCTGGTGATGTTGGGCTCCAGCTTTGCCTCCGCTACAGTTGCAGCAGCTGTTCGCCCTTCTCGCACGCACGCCTCTCGCCGCATCTCACATGCCCCGATCTCTGAGCTGTAGCTGGTCGCGTCTGGTTCTATCTTCGCCTCGCCAGCTTTCTCGCTACCGTTTTCTCAGATCCAGCCGTGGTGGCGAGTAGCGACGGGGAATGTCTAGCGATGGTGGGCTCCAGCTTAGCCTCTTCTACAGTTGCAGTCGCTGCTCGCCCCTTCTCGCACATCGCGGCAGTGCTGTTGCTGCTAGTGTCGGGCTCCCGCGGCTTCTCCCTCTGCACGCACACCAACAGTGCTGACCAGTGCCAGCACCACTGCGACGGGGATGTACATATCGTCTCGCGCCTGTCGCGCACTCTGTTTCCAGTGCTGTGGCTAGCGGTGTCTGGCTCCAGTCTCTCCCCTTCGCGCGCCCTGATCCCAGCGCTGTAGCTGCTGATGTCGGGCTCTGTCTCTGCCTCCCACTTCCTGCACGCCCTGGTCCCACACTCCAGTCGCCCTCCTGGCGTGGCCGAGTGTGCGCCTCTCGCCTGTCCCAGCGCCTCTTTGCCACGACGGCTCCGAGGTCTCGGGGGGGCGGGTGCGGGGCTTCCGCCCAGGCTTGGTCCCTTACTCGGGCTCTGGGTAGGGGGATTCCGAGCGGCGTCCAGCCGCGGCGACGAGGAGAGGTGTTGGGCCCTTGCTCGGGCGTCACTGTCTTCCTCTGCCTCGGCCGTCGGCGCTGCTACCTCTGCACTGTAGCTGGCCACGTTGGGCTCTGTCTTCGCCAACGCTTCCAGCTTCTCACAGCGCGCGGGGCCAGCTTCTGTATTGTACCCGTGCTGCCACGGCTCCTCCGCGTAGATACTCGTCCACGGGGAGCTCCACCAGGCCGGCTGCTGCACTTGGCAGGCCCAGTCCAGCGCCGCCTGACGACACGTGGCTAGCCTAAGCGTGCGCGCCGCTTGCTTCTGGCCCTTGCTTGCCGGCGCCCTGGGGGTCCTCTCCACGCCTGGGGGCCCACTCCACAGCTCGGTTAGCATCCGCCCTGCGATCACAGCGCCTCGCCCGTCGGGGCTGGGGGCTCCCGTCCGCACGGGCCCATCCGCGCGCCGCGCCCGCCGCTGGCAAAAGGGCTGCGCGGGGCCGCGCTGGGGCATGATGAGGAGGAGGACGACGAGGAGGAGGAGGAGGAGGAGGAGGGGGCAGACGAGGAGGCAGAGAAGGAGGAGGAGGAGGAGGAGGTGACCCAGGAATCCCAGAAATGGGGCGTTCCAAAAAGGGCCTTGCCTTCGAGGATCGAGGGAGTTGCCAGCTCTTCCGCGGCGGAAGGTCGGCGGGAGGTCGGCGGAAGGCGGCGGAAAGAGAACCGCGGCGGCTCCGCTGGCGGAAGCCGTCGGAAGCACGAGGCGACCTCCCAAGAGGCGACAACAGGTTTGGCCTCATGGTTTCCGAAATCGGCCAGGTGATGCCTTGATATTTCCAATGCGGGCCCCGGCCCCCCCGAGCTGCTCTGGTGATTTTTCTGGTTCAAAAGATTCGGGCAAGTTTACTTGCATGGCGTTCCCCCCCCTCCCCTCGCCCCTCTTCAGACGACTACTGGCGTGCAAGTGCCTTTTATCTTGCGTGGTTTCCGCACGTACACGTCGTTTGCGGCTTACTTCCGGTCGAAGCCCTCCCCCCCCCGCCCATGCAAGTGTTGCAGTCAACCCGCATAGTAAGGATGGACAACCTTCCCACGGGTACCCTTGCATCCTTGCCTCCTCGGTCCATCCTTTGCCAGTTTCGTCGGCCGCACCCCGCTCGAAAAGCTGCGAAATGGGCGCCCAAGGCCCTTGCATCCTTATCGCGCATTCATTGTACGGGTTGCCTGTAGAAAACAAGAGACTCTCGCTTTCTTCACGGTCCGCGGGAGGGGGGGTCCGGCGAGAGGGGGGCGCCCCGAAGGCCGACCCTGGCCGAGGGCGCCGTGTCCGCCGCGTTTCTTGTTGTTGTCTGTTTCCACGGCGCCAGCACGTCTGAGATCACTCAGGGAGGAGACAAAAAACACGGACACAATCAATCGTCGATTCCCCCGAAAATATGGGAAAATATAGGAAGTGGCGGGAAGACAGAAACCTAGAACGTGTGGGGAAATATGGGGAATATTTTTATTGGTGTGTATTTGTTTGTGTGTCCCCGGGCCCCTTCAATCACGAGCTCCGGGCGGGGCCAGCACGAGGACGAAGCCGTGCCCAGACAGGCTAGCGCCGTGGCATAAAAATCACGGTGGACGCTTTCTGTTTTTGTTGCCGTTCTCGGCCTCTCTGAGGGGCCCTCGGCGGAAAGCACGGCTCAGGACGAAGATCCAGCCCTGGGGAGAGGGTCGGAAGGGGCTAGGACGAGGCTAGATCCGTCCAGAGCGCTGCGGAACGCTCTCAGAGCGCTCCAGGGCGCTCTGGGAAGGCCGCGGCGCCCGAGACGCGCTCCAGAGCCGCCGGATCTCCGAGACTCGATGTACAGCCTCGCCCGCTCGTCTCCGTCCCGGCTTCGTCCTATCACGTCAGGGGCCCACGAGTTACGGGGACCCCCAAGCGGGGTGGTGACCACACCGTGCGGTGAATCGGTGGGGATTCGGGGTCACCGCACGGTTTTGAGATTCGGGTCGTTCTCCGAGGATGTCTCGGGCGGCAGGGGCCTCCGGGGTCCCAAGACCGCGCGGTGATGGACCGTGCGGTGAGGTCTTGGGGGATTCTTCGAGGTCACCGCACGGCCCGTCACCGCACCGTGGCGGGACGCGAGCTCCCCAGGCCGCGCTGAAGTCGAAGGAGAAGGCCCCGCTCCTGCGCCTCACCGTGCAGAGGCGGCCGGGGCCGCGCGCGGCGCGGGCCCCGGAGGCCCCAGGCCACGGGCGGCGTGGGCCCGTGCGCGGAGAGGCGCGCGCGGCGAGGGCCGCCGCCGCGGGCGGGGAGGCGAGGGGGCCGAGCCGCGCAGGGAGGGCCGCGGCAGCCGTGGGCACGCAGGCGGTGCTCGCCGCCCGCCCAGCCGGCCCAGCCCGGCCCGAAGGCCCCGATCCCAGACACGCTCGCGTCGCAATAAAAAATCGGGGCGGGAGGTTTTATAGGCCGGTTTCGGCCTCGGGGAGCCCTCGACGGGCCTCGGGGCCGTCCAAAAGTGATTCAGGATAAATCACCGGTCCTGGGGAGGGGGTCGGGACTTCCAGGGACGCCGTCCTGAAAAAATCAGGACGTCGCATGTCTGGGATCTGCCGTCCACTTCCAGTGGGGGGGGGTCCGGGAACATGGAACAAGAACATGTGAAGTCCGTACCCCCCCAACACGAAGTGCGGGTCGTCGGGTCGGGTTGGGGTGGTCTGGTAGGTAGTCAGATCCACTGTGGGGAACCGTTGGCTCAGCTTGAGGGGCGATCAAATGGCAGGTGTCCGCGCGGAGTGCTTGGATCGGCTTTGGGGTCACCTGGCGGATCCTCTGGCGCAAACTTCCTTGGATCTGCGCTGGGCCCCCCCCCACCCCCGGCGGCGCCTCTAGTGCTGCTCCTGGCGCGCTCCGCGCGCCAGGGAGGGGGTCCATCGCCGATTGAAGAAATCCGCGCGGACCTCCGAAGGTTTGTGTTTTTGCAACTTGAACGTCCCTCGATTAGCGATTCGCGACGGCGGTTTTGGCCCACCGCGCTTCGGCGCGACACGCTCACGGCGCGGTCCCAGGGCGTCAACGTCCCGAGCCTTTCCCAGCCTCCCTCCCCGCGGAGCTGAGCCACACATCATTCACTCGCAGCGCATAGCGTGTCGCCGGGGCCGTCGCAGCCGCGACACGCTAAGCAACAGTTCCTGACTGTTAGCATCCCAGATGGGGTCCAGGTAGGTGGGGTCGGAGGATCGCGCCGCATCGCCGATGCGGCTCGATGTGGAGCACGATTTCATTCCACTCCGACGGCGCCGATGCATCGCCGACGTTGGCAATGCATCGGCGTTGCATCGGCGATGCGGTGTGACTCTCCGACCCCACCTGCTCGGACCCAATTTGGGAGGCCTCTAGGAGAAGAGGAAGGAGACCCGCGGAGAGAAGGCCTCGGGCTCCGCAGATCTCCTCGAGAAGAAGGAGAGCCGCGAGCGGAGGGCCTCGGGTTCCGCAGGCGCGCAGGTTGACAGAGACACCTCGAACGTTGAGGGGCTCATTGCCGCGTGGAACAGCCTCCACCAGGAGCAGCCGATCGAGCTGAACCACGAGGCTCTCCACGAGTTCATGGCAAAGCAGCACGGGAAGCACTGAAGGCTGCGGTAGGCTACGGTCGGCGCCTGGCCACCCCAGACACCCGTCGACATGTTGGATTTAAGCCGCCCGAGCAACAAATGTATCTGGGTCGCGTTTTCGGCCTAACCGGTACGAGTTAAATGGTTGAGAAGTACGTTGATTGTTGCGTTGGCTGACAATTTGATACATGGTTGAGATGTTCGGAAAAGTTGCATGAACAGTTAATGGTTGTTGCGTGGGTTGAACAAGTTAGCGAAGTTTAGAAGCGTTGCTTAAATCGTTGACCTGGGTTGTTTGATTGTCGTCGAAGATCACCCCAAGTTTTTTCGCATGGTGGCGCGTTTCGGCGAGCATTTTTTGAACGCGCGATGTTTGAGCAGGAACCGTACGCCTGCATCGGGGCCTGGCTGGGCCACTTTTCATGGATTTCTGGCACTGCGCTCATGATTCGTTGAACCCCGAGGGTTTGTTGAGACTTTAAGGGTAGCTCTTTGGGAGATGTTATAGCATCGGGAGCATAGCTCGCGCGCCGTTGCCTTTGGCTCAAGGCACGCGCGCCCTATTTGCCCGGACACCGCGAGTGTTCGCTATGTGCTGGAAAGACCGATACATCGATCTTATCCTATCTTATCCGTCCATTCCTCTTACTGAACCACGTCAGTACGATACCGGACGCTATTTGCCATCCGATGTCTACGGAATCGGATGCTATTTGAGTTACCAGGCTCACTTTCGACTTGGTAGCGGAGCTGGCCGCACTCTCGTGTGGTCAGCTCTTGCTCTTCTTAGCCTCATACTATTCGGCACGATCTTCGTGACCACCTACCACCCTGCGCTACCACTCCCAGTACATTGGTACCATATACGCTTCATCATTGCGCTACCACCAACCGCTCGGCAACGAGCCAAAAACGCAATACTTGAAGCATGGGCGGAGAGATCCGCCAGATAGAGCGCCCCGAAGACTCGACAAGGCGCTACCCCAGCGCGGCAACGCGCCTAATAACCGCCCTTATCTACACAGCCTTGGGCTGGTTATCTTCGCTATCATATGGTTCGCGCTGGGGACAGCAATCGGACACATGCGTCGTGGAGACAACAGCACCGATGGGCAAACACATGGCCCATAGTGGGACCCTCAAGGCAACGTACCTTTCCGCGAGTACGTTTATGAGGTCAACGCATGGCTCAACGTCACAAGCGGACGTATGACGCCACAGGCCCAAGCGGCCGCCATACAACGCGGCCTAGGTGGCCTAGCGAGGACACTCGTCATGAGGGTACCGCCTGACATCATAAATTATGGTGCTGACATCGATGGGGTCCATACCGACCCAGTGACCTACATCATGTTCCTCTTAAGCATGAAGTTCGAGCGCCTGGAAGATGAGCGCCAGCTCACTTCCGGCACACAACTCATCGACTTCCACGTGCCTCACGGGGAACGAATCGACGTCACCCTTACCCGATTCGAAATGGCCCGACTTGAGGCACAGTCGGTGGGATTTGACCTTCCCAACTTCCAACTACTAACCACGATCTTGTTCCGCGCCTTAGGCGTCGGCAACCAGCGAGCCATGCAACTCTTACAGCCACTCAATCACCAAATGCCCCGAACACAACAACAGTATGATGAGTTGCTGGAGAGGATGCGTTCGATAGGCCACCTATCTGAACGGTCTCCTGGTAATATAGGATCTGCGTTTGGAAGGGGAGGGGGATCTGGTAGTGGAAATTTCTACACTACCTTGACTACTGAAGCCCAGCCTGGGAACGGGCCCTCAAACATATGGGCCGATGATCCTGGAGAATCCACTGCTCTACTAGCAGGAGATCGATCACAACCAAGCTGGGCAACCAGCCCTCCTTCTAGAGAACCACAACCACACCGTTCCTTATGGGGTGAATCAAATCCCCTAACCGACGGTGTATCCACCTACTTGGGAGACGAGGATTTCGACTCCGGCACCGACACATATACTATATCATCAGACGGTGTTGAAGCTTTAGATTGGTCAGACGTTATGAATATGGATAATGACAATCAGCGTGTTGAACATCTGTTCTGGTTATTACAACAGGCCAAACGGAGGTGGAGGAGGTTCACACGAAAACCAGTGCGTCGTGTTAGGAGGAGGATACGGAGGAGTTTTAGGGGAAAAGGTAAAGGTAAACGAGGTCGTCGGAGGTTGAACGGACGAGGCATCACGGCATTTCTCCAGAGGCTCTCAGATGAACAACATGATGAGATATTCTTTGGGGGAAAGGGCCGTGGCAAGCCGTAGAGAGACCTCAGGAAAAGGCAGGGGTAGGCGGGGCAACCCGCGAGGTAGAGACGGCCAGGTTCTTAAATGCCATGAGTGTGACAGTACCGACCATCTTGTGCGAGATTGTCCAGCGAAGGGAAATGGAAAGGGCAGGTCGACCGAAGTCCATTTTGGCTCAAGTGAACCATTCATCGAATATCTGAGCCTCCAGGATTTTGAAGCCATGGATCAGATATTTTACACTTGGGTCAGTTGCATGGACAACGTCGACGAGCTCGAAGCGCATGGTCATGGGTTGTACGCGTACTACCTCGAGTACGTCCGCCGGTTCGTTATTGGCAACAACGAGTTCACTCCCGTGGATCACGGTACGCTGGGAAACCAGCCTCTTTCTTTCTTCGACTGGATGTTCGGGAACCCAGGTAACATCATGGCTTACGAAAGCAGTGACGAGGACGTCACTGTGGAGGCCTCGCCTTCCGAGGTTGAACGCAACCTCCAACCTCCACCAGAAATCCCGCCTGGAAACAGGCCTACCTTGATGGGAGACTATCCCCAAACTACTGAAGACCTAATAGATATGGAGTCTCAGGCGTTCGTTCAAGCTTTCATTGCAGGTGAACCAGAGATCCCATTTGTACCCCCTGGTTCGCTTGCTCCAGGCGAATACGGACCACGTACTCTCTTGCAAACCCTCATGAGGATGCATGAGATACTTATCACCGCTTATCCCGAGAGCCAAGAACACATCGAAGCTGACGGCGCGATGCTGCAGGATACCGACGCCTGCGGTAGCTCGGAGTTGTTGTTGGCAGCTCTGACTCTCATTGACAGCGTGCATCCTGAGGACGTGCAGAGACACCTGATATACTCCCGCGGTAGATGGCGCAATGCTTTGGAAATGGCTATCGCCATGCGCGGTCATGATCTTCCTCCGCCAGGATGGGGTCTCCAGGCGGTGGGACTGCGGCCAAACCATACGGCCATGCGCAACATTGCTGGGCAGCCTTTGCTCGGCAACGAGCCTGGGCCGACGACCGCGCCGCCTGCCCCGGGGCACGCACAGACGCCGGCTATGCAGGGAAACCTGCCTGTACCGGCTGCGCCAATGGCCATCATCATTGGTAGTTCTACATCAGAAGAAGAAGGCGATGGTTGCGGGCTAGATGAGGATGAAGTTACAGTCCTCATGATGGAAGTCAATGGTGAGGAAGAGGTTGACTTTGACCCTGACGAGCCTGAAGCACCATCACCATCGGCACAAGCGCCATTTGCGCCGAGCTCCAGCCAGCAGGGAGACCTGCCTCTATTGGCCGATCCACCTGGGATCGCACAGGAGCCTCCGCAGGCGCCTCCGCCGGCTACCACTCAGGCTGCTTCGGCGGCCTCTTCTGATGAGAACGCTGGTAGGTCCCGTTCCCATGCGCGCGTCAGAGAAGAGCCACACCCGCATGCTCGGCTTCCTCGTGAGTGGAGGCAGGCTGGCCCGAAAGAGCATGCTCTCAGGCGAGGTGGCCAGCTGCTTCCGCATAATGACCCAAGACGCCGAAAAGGGGAACACTCGGCCTTCGGCAAGGGCAACCCTGCCTATAGGGACGCTGAGGGCAAGGCCATCCGCGGAGGCTATCAGATTGCAACAAATATCCGCCGCCCTGAAATTGAAGAAGCGCGGACCCAGCTGCGAAACATCATCGCAGCTCGCAAGCAGTATAGGCCTCAAGCAGCTTGCGGACCTTGCTCCGAGCCGTTCCAGAACCACAGGCCGGGATGCCCCGTTGGCAACAATGAAGGTCTGAGCCCAAACAGGGGCAAAACTCCTCATAAAGAGGGCCATCCGCAACTTATCCCGATGACACAGGCGAGATCGCCGAAGTGAGTCGTCGTCTCGGGATCCTGGGCCACTTGGATCCGAAACCGGAAGAGGAGAAGTCTACCCCGGTTCCAAGGGGACTGGTGCCCATGACCCAGGAAGAAAAAGACGCGCTCTTTAATCTTCCTGGAATGCGAGGAAACTCGCCCGGCGTTTCTAGTCAGTCCCAACAACCAGCACTGACATCCAAGGATGAACAGAAGGCCCAACGTGTGGCGGAGGACGAGGAACGCATGCGGATAGCAGACGAACGCGCACGCGAGGCAGCTCGCCAGATGTTGGAGGATTCCAACAAGATTTACATGAAGGGGGCTAGGAAACCCCCACTCCCACTACTTTCGAAGGCTAAGAGTGAAACCCCGGCACCGAAGTCGTCTTCGGAGGTGAAACCGAAGGCGCGCTCTCAGGATCCTGGGCCAGATGTGCAGATGGAGGCGCCTCGCTCTGCAACTCCGAGAACGCCGATTGGCGCAACTCCTGCACAAGCGTCTGAGCCCAAGCAGCAACCTCAGGACCCTGTGGAGGAACGGAAACGCCCGCCTAGTCGCAGCAGCTCCATTGCTGAAAGGGCGGCAGCTTTCGAGCGCACCGGGTATGCCCCTGCGCCAGCTTCGCCTGTGGCGGCCCGTTCCAAAAGGTCCGACGAAGGTGCCATGTCTAGAGGTACCTGGGTGCCAACGATTAGGGGCAGCGCCAGTCGCGGATCACCGCGGGGAAACCCGCCAGGCGCTGCCGCTGCAGCTTCCTCCTCTCCAGGAGTCGCAGCTCCTTCAGCAACAGAGGCTCCTATGCGGGGAAACCCGCCCTTGGATCAGCTGCACCACCCAGGTGACGCGTCCTTCACCAGTGGGGCTCCGAGTGTGATCAGGGATAGAGTTGCT